AGGTGGTATTGGAGTGTTATAGGGTCATGGAAAAGATCTTCAATTATTAATTATAGGTTTTAAATTTACCCTGGCTTTTAAAGGAATAGGATACACTATATTTTCTTTACTACTTCCATCTCTCTCTGTCTTTGACTCTGTCTCTCTCTTTCCCTTTGACTCCCTCTTTGTCTTTCTGTCTCTTTCTCTCTCTCTCTCTCTGCCTGTCTCTCTTTCTCTTTGACTCCCTCTTTGTCTCTTTCTCTCTCTCTCTGCCTCTCTGTCTGTCTCTCTCTCTGACTCTCTCTTTGTCTTTCTCGTTCTTTCTTTGCCTCTCTCCTTCTCTCTCTGTCTCTGACTCTGTCTATTTCTCTCTGACTTCCTCTCCCAGTTTCTCTTTCCTCTTTGCTGGTCTTTCCCTGCCTCTGCCAGCTGCTTATGCTGCTATTCTCCCCTCTCCTTCCCCTTCCCCTAGGGGAGGGACCATTGGGAGAGGAGCTACTCTCTCTTCCCCCAAGAAAGGAAAGGGGTGTTCTGAATATTTTTCTTACCACCAGAGGTTTGTGTGAGGTTCAACCCCCTGAAATTTGCGGAAGGCTCAACCCCTCAAAGCAGGGATGTCTCGCCTTGCCTGCCCTAGAAGTCTCAACCCCAGAAACCAGGGATGTCTCGCCTTGCCTATTCTGGAAGGTTCAACCCTTCAAATCAGGGTGCATCTTGCCTTGCTGCTCTGGAAGGTTGACCCGTTTCCTCTCTTTCCCCCTCTGAAGGTCCCTTGGACACTTCCCACTCATGTTGTCCTCTCTGGCCACTCCCCAAGGGAGAATTAGGCCCCTCTTAGTGTTGGCGTGCTGGTATAAATCCCATGGCAGGATCCACCCTAAGCCATAAGAGGTAGCTACAGAACTGCAGAGAGGATCTACTCATTCCGTCCAGAAGTAGGACTTGTCACCATCCACACGAACAACACCTCAAGTAGGATTGTTTGTGATCATTCATACACACACACATTAAGCCCTCCAGAATTTGACCACCAAGGAAGTACTTTATCGGCTCCCACAGCTTCTCCTTTCTTGGTCTGTGCACAGAGTTGTTGCCACAATATGTGAGGATCCTTTAAGCTAGGTTGCTGGCCAGTTTTTTTCCGCGTTGCTGAGAGCTTGGGTTATTCCTCGCACTGGGTGGGTCCTGATTTTTCACCCCTGAGGCCGTTGCAAGGGGGCGGGGTGCACCTCCTCATGAGAGAGAACCAGAGACCTCCCCCAGAGTGGAATGTAATCACAGGCGAGCCCCCAGATTGTTACAAGTAAAGCTTCAGTGCCGCAAAAGAAATAGCACTCGAATGTAAAATTTTCTTTTTAATTCTCAGCAAGGCAATGTGCTTCTATAGAAGGGTGCGCCCTTACAGATGGAGCAATGGTGAGCGCACCCTTGGACAAGGGAGGAGAAGGGGTTCTTATCCCTGACACACGTGGCCCCTGCTGCTGGGTCCTTCCTCGGTTGGCTAGGGTTAGACCACACAGGCTAAACTAATTCCAATTGGTTAATTTAAAGAGAGTGATGGGGTGAGTGGTTTGGCAGGAAAAATGGTTATGGCAGAGCAGGAAATCGGAATGAGTCAGGGTGGAGAATGAGCAGGTAATGGGAATGAGTCAGGGTGGAGCAGGTAATCGAAAAACCTTGCTTTATGAGGAAGTTAAGTTTAAAGTAGAAGGCAAAGATTTGAACGTACTGACAGACTGATTCTTTGAAGAGAAATTTAGAACTCATATCTAACAGTGCTGAGCTAAGAAGAGAAATAAACTCAATCTTGTCCGTTCTCTTTCCCCATTTCCCTTTCAGGCTAAAACTCCAGTTCTGGTTGAGACACAGAGAGTGGACAATGCCAATGAGAAATTAGAAAAAGTATGACCTCCCAAACCACACAGGGCTGAGGCTGGGGATGTGGGGGCTGTGCTTGTGGAATGGAATGACCATGATATGGAAGCGGGGCTCAGTTAGAAGTACCTGTGTGTGCATGTGTGTGTGTGTATGCGTGTGTGTGTATTTGAGCTTGTGCATGTATGTGTGCTTGTGAATTAAGATTTAAAATGTGAAAGTTAAGAAAAATGATGATGGGGAAGAGATGTAAGAGTTTTAACTTTGGGGTGGAGGAACTTTTGATACTATGACATGTTGACAAAAAGAGAAAAGAGTTGAACTCTGCAAAATATTTGAAGAGATTTATTCTAAGCCAAGTGTGAATGACCATGGCCCATGACACAGCCCTCAGGAAGTCCTGAGAACATGTGCCCAAGGTGGTCCCGGCACAGCTTGGTTTCGTACGTTTTAGAGAGGTATGAGGCATCAATCAAATACATTTAAGAAATACATTGGTTTGGTCCAGAAAGGTGGGAAAACTTATAGCGGTGCCTGGGGGGAGGGTGGTGTTTCCAGGCTATAGGTGAATTTAAACATCTTTTGACTGACAATTGGTTGAATTTGTCTAAAGACCTGAGATTCATAGAAAGGGAACATTCAGGTTAAGATAAAAGATTGTGGAGACCAAAGTTCTTTTGAACTCTTGTAGTATCTCCCCTTAGAGAAAATAGATGACAAATGTTTCCTAGTCAGATCTTAGTTAATCTCTTTAGGTTTGGGAGGGTCTGGAAGAAGAAGATCTAGCTATGTTAGTAGAGATTCTTTACAGATGCAAATTTTCCTCCACAAAGAACAGCTTTGTAGGGCCATTTCAAAATATGGCAAAGAAGCATGTTTTGGGATAAAATATTTTTCTTCCTTGTCTGATAATGTTATGCCAGGGTCAGGTTGGAAAGTAAAGGGTTAAATAAAACCCATCTGATGAGAAGTTATGATTTGTAGGGCATGACTCCCCAGGCCCCTTAGATACGAATTTGGGCAAGACAAAAAAAAAAAAAAATCAGGGTTTAGTCTTCAGACATGACAGAGGGAGAGAACAGGCTGTGGCTATGAACTTTTGCCAGGGATGAGAGGGCAGGACTGGCAAAGGATGTGACTTCTCCAGCAGGTTGAAGGGGTCTGAAAGAAAGGATCAGATCTGGGTGGAACATGGTAACCCTTTGACCCTATATCACAGTGTTCTTGCTGGTCAACAAGGTCCGTGGAAAACTGGGTGAGGTAGCCAGGGCAGGTGTGCCCCAAGATGGGCAGGACACTGAGACCCAGGGGCAAGGTGATGTGCTTGTGGCTATCAACCAGAGGATGGCAGAGGCAGGACACCTACCTGATCTGGTTCCAGCTAGTGTCCTGCCCAGTGCTCCTGAATTCCAGAAAAAGAGACAGTTGCTGATAGGGAATCAGGGCCTTTCCTGGCACACCCTAGGGCTGAAGCCAGTGGGGAGCATTCTCTGAAGGTCCCTCTTTTTTCTTGAAAGCCCCCAGAAAACCAAAAGAAGCTCTCTGACAAAGATATGGTAGCCACCAAGATCCAGGCCTGGTGGCGGGGCACCCTGGTGCGTCGGGCACTGTTGCACGCGGCCCTCAGCGCCTGCATCATTCAGTGCTGGTGGCGGCTGATACTGTCCAAGATTCTGGAGAAGAGGCGGCGGGCGGCGCTGGAGGCCTTCTCCCAGGAGGAGTGGGCAGCAGTCACACTGCAGTCCCAGGCCCGCATGTGGCGCATCCGCAGGCGCTATTGCCAGGTGCTCAATGCTGTTCGCATCATCCAGGCCTACTGGAGGTGCCGCTCCTGTGCTTCCCGAGGGTTCATCAAGGGCCAGTACAGAGTCACAGCCAACCAGCTGCATCTCCAGCTGGAGATCTTGCTGGGCTCAGGGCCTTGCATTGTGACAGAGTGTATTCCTCTCGCAATAAAGGAATGAACTGGTCTTTTCCAGATAGTCTCTGACAAGCTTCAGGAGGTCAGAGCAATGGATAGCAGATACTTGGCATTTCATATACCAGCTCTGAGGAATGGGCAGGGCTTGTCTGAGGCCTCATGTGGAGCAGACTCTGAGCCTGTTTTCCAGACTGAGCAGAGACTGTGATTGATTAGCAACGTCTGCCGTAGGAAGGAAAGTTGAGGGTACAGACCTGTCAATTGGTCAACTCCATGGAATATCATTCATATTTACATCATTCTATGTACATAGTGCACCCTCCCCAGGACTGGGTATAATAGAAACCTGGCGGGTGGTGGTCATGGCAATGGCAGCACATTCTCCAGGAATTCACCCGTCTGGGTCTGGTTGCTCAGAGATTGTTCCCCAACCCCTAGGACTGAAAGGAGCCCCCCAACCCCAAGCCCTGAGATCCTGTCTCCCTGCTGCACTGGGGGCTTTGTCCTTATACTTGGCTTCTAAGAATCTGAGACCCAAACTGGAAGCTGTTAGCATAACTCAAGTCCTCATCCTCACCTCAAACCCCATCTGTCCCTTGCCCTCGAGCCCCATATGAAAGCTAGGACTCATTTTCCTCCAGACCAGGCTGGCATGGGAGGTTCCACAGGCAAGGGGGTGGGAGAGAGGGCATTTTGCTGCCAACCCAACCCTCTGGTGAGTGTTAGACCTCAGGCTATCACAGCTGCAGGAGCTGAGCAGGCATTAGTCTTGTGTTCCTTACCCTCCCCACTGGCCCAACTTCTACAAGGGCCAATCCAGGCAGAGCTGGCTCTTCTGAAAGTCCCTTCCTGTGAAATGCTGCCAGCTGGGGTGGGGTTGGGGCCCAGGTGATGATAAGGGCCAATTAAGAGGTGAAGGTTTGCATTACTCTGATGATTAGTGATGTTGAACAATTTTTCACATTCCTGTTTGCCACTTAGCAAATAACAATGTAGTGTATATTTTAAGATACTTAAAAAAAAGATTTTTGAATGTTGTCACTACAAAGAAATGATAAATGTTTAAAGTGATGGATATGGTAAATATCCCAATTTGGTCATTACAGTATATATACATGCATTGAAATATAACATTATACCCCATAATTATGTATAATTATTATCAATTATCAATTAAAAAATTAGTAACAAAAAAAGAGGTTAAAATTAGGCTGAACTTCTGCCTGTCAACACTGCTGTCACTGTCCTGTGGTTCCCTGCAGAAGGGGGATTCTGAGGACTGAGTCACAGCCCTATGTCCAGCCCTGCTTCAACGACTGTGCCCTGGAGAGCTGGTCCCTCAGCTCATAGATGTTCTGAGATGCTGCCCAGAAGTCTCAGGCTCTAGCTCTCAGGCATGAGCTCTGTATTTTCTGCTCTGTCCTGCCATGTCCTGCCCCTTGTATCTCGTTCAGGGCCTGGGTCTCTCATACCCACTCTGAAGGATTCCTGTCTTTCTCCTTGCCCCTGTTGTCCTGTGTTCAGAGTATCAGAGCATAGAGCTCTGACTTCCATCTGCTCCACCTCTCACTGCCCTGTGGCCATAGACAAGTCATTTCCCCTCTCTGAGCCCAGTGTCCTGAACTGTGAACTGGCGCTAACATTCCCCACCTTCCAGGGTAAACGTCAAGCACCATAAAAACTAGCACCTTCAAAGCATCAAGTTTGTACACCTACTTTGCGTTTAACTTTGTTAATTATACCTCAATAAAGCTAAAAAAATTTTTCTTCATCAGCATCAAAACAAGGAAAGGAGTCACAAACAAGCCTTAAATACCGGTAGCCATGGAAAAAACAGCCAATTCTGGGGTCAGCTGGAGTGGCCCAGCAAAGCACATGGAGGCATGTTCATCATTGTTGAGGTACTCCCACTCCCAGGCCTCCTCAGTGGACAGATCCAGGAAATACATGTTTGTGTGTATGCATAAGCATTGCACATTTATATCCATGTTCATTTCTGTGCCTATCTATATTGAAATCTGTGAGCTCACACTGATACCTCCAATCCCACCCCAAATTTAAGAATTCACTCTAGTTTTCTCCTTTCCTTCTTTTCTTTTTGAGATGGAGTCTGGCTTTGTCACCCAGGCTGGAGTGCATTGGCACAATATTGGCTCACTGCAACCTCCGCCTCCCTGGTTCAAGCAATTCTCCTGCCTCAGCCTCCCGAGTAGCTGGGATTACAGGCGTCCACCACAACGACTGGCTAATTTTTGTATTTTTAGTAAAGACAGGGTTTTGCCATGTTGGCCGGGCTGGTCTTGAACTCCTGACCTCAAGTGATCCACCCACCTCGGCCTCTAAGTGTTGGGATTACAGGTGTGAGCCACTGTGCCCGGCCTCCTTTCCATATTTCTACTCTTCTTTCTGAGAGTGACACCCCTAGCTCCGATGATCTTTAATACATTTTCTTATTTGATTTTTCCTGTGTGCAACTAATTTTGCACAGCTACTACTGGCCCCTGTCTTACAGAGACACTGGCCTGTTTCTCTTGATCTCTGATATATGATACCGTCTATTGCCCTCTTCTTGTGGCTGAGGCTGTGGCTCCCCATGTTGGTCTGATGACTGGGGTAAATGCTCCTTCACCCAACCTGAGCTGAAACAAAATGTCAGGCCACCCTCTGCGTGGATATCCTCTTCACTGTGCTCAAGTTCTGATGGTCTATGCCACCAAGGATGCCCTTCTCATCCTGCCTGATATGACACTATAACTGGTATGGACTTACACCCCCGTGTGGACTCCTCCTCCCACTGCCTGGGTTTCATGCTGGTCCCTCCTAGAACGATGCCTTCCTCCCCCGTCTTGTGACCCTCCCTCGCCCGGCTCTGTTCCATGGTGGCTCTCTTTGCCCCTGGTGCAGCTACGTTGCACTGCCCAGCCTGAGGATTTCAGACCGATGGAGTGATTCGGGAAGGAAAGGGAAAAGAAAATGAAGGCAAGGGCAAGAGAAAACTAAATTTTCAATAAAAAAATGGAGACAAAGCATCTGCAGAAGAAAATTCTCAATCATGGGCTAACATCTGCTTCAACATTTTCACCCTAAACCTCAAGCAAGCATAACCACAGAGAAGATCTGGAAATTGTTCATGAAATAATGAATCAAAATGTTTGAGGTTCAGGCCTTCCTCTCCCACTACAAATTCATAGGAATAACAGAAAAAAAAAAACCATTGATTTCAAAAGTTTGTACTAGTACCTAAAATATAGGAAGGGGGCCTTCAGGGAATGGAAGCATGTGGAATCCCTAATAGTCAGAAGGTATATGTGGAAAAACTGAAAGACAATAAATTAAAGCTTTAGAAAAGGCAAAGGCAAAGGCAAGAGTGGCCATGCAGTTTCTCCATGCTTGGAGCTAGCTGGCCAGGGACAGCAGGGCTGTGGGCTCTGCAGGGCATTGGTTGGAATATGCCCATAGGAGGAGCAGCTGGCTCTCTGCTGAGCTACACAGTTGGCAAGAGTGGCTGACGGCAGAGGGCTCTGTGACCCACCAGGGCCTGGTGCCATGTGACACCCTTGCACAGCAAGGACCCTGTCCAGAGGACCACCCACAGAGGTCCCACCCCGACAGGCCACCTCACAGAAATGGAAGACCCAGAAGTTCCACTGTTGGTCGAATGTGTGCTTCTGAGAAAGGATGGAGAATGGAGGGAAGGAGTGCGCAAGCATGAATGAGAGGATCTCCCATCATTAATGAGAGTTTTAATGAGATTCTTTAGAAAGAACTACAGTCTAAGACAGCTGACCAACTGCACCAAGATAAGTGAAAACAGATGGAACCCAAAATATGTTATGGCTGAAGATAAACTGAATGAAGATACCGAAATTTTTTTTTTTGAGGTGAGTTTCGCTCTTGTTGTCCAGACTGCAGTGGCACAATCTCAGCTCACTGCAACCTCCTCCTCCCGGTTTCAAGCGATTCTCTCACCTCAGCCTCCCGAGTAGCTGGGATTACTGGTGCCCACCACTGCACCCGGCTAATTTTTGTATTTTTAGTAGAGACGGGGTTTCACCAAGTTGGCCAGGCTGGTCTTGAACTCCTGACCTCAGGTGATCCACCCGCCTTGGCCTCCCAAAGTGCTGGGATTGTAGGCATGAGCCATCACGCCCTGCCAAAATGCTGAAACATTTAAACAAGAAATAAAACCAATGGCTTACCCACCAAGGAGTAAGTCAGGGTGACTTCGGGTTTCTCAGCAGCAACACTGATTGCAAAGAGAGAGTGGAACCACAGCCTCAACTTTCTGCAGAAGAATCTTTCTCAGCACAGAATCATAAACTCACCTCGATATTATCCAAGTGTTGTCCCCCACCCCGCTCCCCTGCAATCCGTGGAGTCAGGGACGTGGCACTCAATAGGCTAATGGGAAATCTAAAACCAAAGATGAGCACCCAAACAAGAACCACCAAGCTTTGGAGGAAACCAATAGCATGAAAAAGCATTCTTAAACTCTGCAAGCAGAAACCTGATAACCAAGGGAAAGACTTGAGAAATTAATATCCTCATTGGGTGGAGGAAGACATCTTAGATACAAAAGAACAAACCTTTATTAAAAAGCCATTTATGGATCTCAGAAAGGAATAATCCTTGTCAAAATTAAAGCCCAGTAGATGGGATGAATAGCAGAATGCAGGTATAAAGTGCAGATTAGTGAGTGGAAATTTTGATGTGAAGAATCCTCCTGGAGGCCGGGCGCGGTGGCTCAAGTCTGTAATCCCAGCACTTTGGGAGGCCGAGACGGGCAGATCACAAGGTCAGGAGATCAAGACCATCCTGGCTAACACAGTGAAACCCCGTCTCTACTAAAAAATACAAAAAACTAGCCGGGCGAGGTGGCGGGCGCCTGTAGTCCCAGCTACACAGGAGGCTGAGGCAAGAGAATGGCGTAAACCCGGGAGGCGGAGCTTGCAGTGAGCTGAGATCCGGCCACTGCACTCCGGCCTGGGTGACAGAGCGAGACTCCGTCTCAAAAAAAAAAAAAAAAAAAGGATCCTCCTGGAGTGTAGCACAAAAGGTCACAGAAATGAAAAGCTTAAAGAAAATAAATAAAAGAATGAGGCATTGATCCAGAAGTTCCAGTCATGGTTGACTGTGTATTCCTGAGAAAGGAATTGCAGAGACAAAGGCAGAAACATTCAAAGCATTGATGAGTTTTCCAGAGCTTAAAGAGACTCACTTGCCCTCAAAAGATGAAGGAAAACAGATGGAGCTTCACACAGGTCACAGCACAATCTCATAACTGATGAAGATAGAATACTTAAATATTTAAAGAGGAAAAGGAATCAACACATCACCTCCTAAGGAACAAGTTTCAGATTCACATCAGCTTTCTCAGCATCAACACTGAGTGCAAGAAGAAAATGGAGCAACACTCCCAATGCTCTGAGAGAAAGTAAATGTGAGCATTGAATGCTATGCTACCCCAAATGTCATTCAAGTGTAAGTGCAAAGTGAAAGGCATCCTTTTAATTCAAAATTTAGTCTACATCAAAAGTCTCTGACTGTATCTCTGGGAAATTAACTCCATGACAAAGGAAAACAAATCCAGGAGAATGGCACAAGACATAGTGATGAGTATAGATGCCACTAACATTTATTATTACGACTGAATAAGATTTTCCTATAAAATATGTATATTTCTTTTTTCCTGTTAGACAAGGTCTCTCTCTGTAATCAGGCTGGAGTGCAGTAGCTGGATCATGGCTCACTTCAGGCTGCACCTCCCAGGCTCAAGTGATCCTTCCACTTCAGCCTCCTGAGTAGCTGGGACTACAGGTTCATGCCTCAATGCCCAGCTAATTTTTGTATTTTTTGTAGAGATGGGGTCTCACTCTGCTGCCCAGGCGGTCTCCAATTCCGGGGCTCTAGCAATCTGTCTGCCTCAGCCTCACAAAGTGTTGGAATCACAGGCGTGAGCCACTGCGTCTAGCCAAAATATGTATATTTCCATAAAATATGTCTGTTTCTCAAATGATGGCAACATGGGAGGTTGCTGGAGACAGTGTATGGAAAAAAGGAACTTGGGCTAAAGTTCTTGCCTGATTTGAGGCCCAAGTGATACTGATTTGCTTCAGATGCTCCACAGGCAAAATAAAATCTGTTAACATGTAAGTACTAGAAGAACAGCAATGAGGTATATAACGTCTAGGTAAATTAGGAACTACATTCAGCTAACATAGAAATCTAAAATACATTTGGGAGGCCGAGACGGGCGGATCACGAGGTCAGGAGATCGAGACCATCCTGGCTAACACGGTGAAACCCCGTCTCTACTAAAAAATACAAAAAAATAGCCGGGCATGTTGGCGGGCGCCTCTAGTCCCAGCTACTCGGGAGGCTGAGGCAGGAGAATGGCGTAAACCCGGGAGGCGGAGCTTGCAGTGAGCTGAGATCCGGCCACTGCACTCCAGCCTGGGCGACAGAGCGAGACTCCGTCTCAAAAAAAAAAAAAAAAAAGAAATCTAAAATACAGTAGTCAAACAAATTAGAGGTTTGGTTTACATCTCCTAAAAGAAGTCCGAGAGTGGACAGTCCAGGCTCAGTGGACAGCGCCATGATGTCATCATGGAACTAAGCATCTTCTGTTTTCGCACCACCTCCCCACCGTGTTGGGGAGGTAACCCATGTCCTCATGCTCTCAGAGTGGTTACCAGAGTGCTGGCCATCAAGTTCACATTTTAGGGAAGCAGAGGGTTAAGGCGAAATGGGAAAAGGGTCAATTTGAGCCCAGCCTGGCTCCTTAAAGAGGTTTCCCAGAAGGCCCACCCAGTGACTCTGCTGACATCTCATTGGCTAGTGAATATCACGTGACCACTCCAGTCGCAAGAGAGGCTGAGAAACGCTATTCCTTTAATTGCAC